GACTATTGGTGGCGAAATAGAATTAGTTCGATAAGGTATAGTACTTTTAGGTTATGGGCCGACGGCTAAGGTTTACCCCTTTTATCGGCATAAATACTAATGTTCTAGCTTCTAGCTAACGTTTTTATCAATACTGTAGTTGAAACGACGTGTGATAATCAACGTAGATTCAATTTTTATAATGTCTGACCGTTTCTCACGTTTCACGGTGTGCGCACTTTTTTTATATGCAGACAAGCCACACAACAAGACATGCGACAAGAACGAGTTCCAATGCAGCAGTATGACGTGTATCCACCGCTATCAAGTGTGCGACATTCACAAAGACTGTCTCTATGGGGATGATGAGATACTAGCCACCTGTGGTGAGTTAAAAACACGCTTAAAATAGAACGGAGAAATTGATTTAAAAGAGCACCGCCGGATACTTACGTGGATGCGGAGTGGGATCAAGGCAAAGAGACGTGTAGATAGTAGCGCGGAGATTACTGTGCTAGGGAAGAAAATGGGAAATGTGTAGCCTACAGATAAGACACTGTGTCGCAGCTATAATGCACCAGAACAACACTTTAATTCCTCTCTGTGGTGTCGATTTAGTCTACCTCTAACTTCAACACCAGTACAATAAATTTGAGAGCGTTCTAAATGCGTGCTGGCGATGTAGTTATGTAAATCTAGTTTACAGTCCTCAAAACAATACTGCGCAAAGATTGTGCTTCTTTGACAAGATGGTTATGAAATGAACCTTCTGTTTTCTGGAGATGAACGTTAACACAATAATTCAGTTTCAGGCATTTATTTCCAGCGCACAGCTGGAACAGTCAATGATTATACTTCATGGTTAGCGGGCTGTCTGGCAGTGATCTTTGCGCGTAACAAGCATAATAGTAGGGGTTCTAAGCTCCCTGACCAATAAAAGAGGTAAAGTGTTCACTTTTTGATAAAAGCACCAAATTGGCACCAGCATGTACTTTGATAGGTGCTTAACCGAATTAGAGGTGGACGCCCAACGAAATCGCGCTTTAAAGTGGGCTGGCATCGAATTTTCAAAATGGCCGCCATGAAATTTCAAAATACATTTCTTTAAGACCATATCCAACGCTTCTAACTTAACATTTTAGTGACTTTATTTAATCGACTGTGGTTTTTAGACACGAGGAAAATAATTAAGGTAATTTAAATATGATAATGAAAAATGTTTCTCATTTGCAATTTTCAAAATGGCTGCCGTGAAATGCCAAAAATACATATGCTTGGGCGTATTTTTAATTCTAAAATAATATTTTTGAGTGATTGTAAGTGCTAAGTTATGGTTATGGACATGAGCAACCCGATTAAGCTAACATTTAATGTCATTACATAATTACCTCATTTGCATATTTTCAAAATGGCCGCCATGAAATGCCAAAATACATATGCTTTGGCGTATTTCAATTCTAAATAATATTTTTGGAGTGATTGTAAATTACAACCTATAAAATTAACTTTAAACTGAATTCTTATTGTTTTGACTTCTGTTTAGAGTGAGAGAGGAGGAGAAGAGAGAGAGAGAGAGAGAGAGAGAGAGAGAGACAGAGAGAGAGAGGAGACAGACACAGAGAAGAGAGAGACAAGAGAGAGACAGACAGACACAGATATATATATATATATAGAGAGAGAAGAGAGAGTGAATTTCTGTTAGTTAGTGAGAGAGGAGAGGGGGAGAGAGTACGGTTCGTTTGGCGGGAGTGGGTTTATAGTGTTCGTCTGGGCGAGCGTGTGTTCGGTAATTAACGTGGGGCGTCTTCTGCGTATCTAGATTATTCTGGCTCGCTGATTCAAGAGCGTCGAGAGTTGAATGATGCGGGAGTTCACAGAACGTGTGTAGGCCGTATTGCTCTCTCTCTCTCTCATCCCTCCTCTCTCTCTCTCTCTCTCTCTCTCTCTCTCTCTCTCTCTCTCCTCTCCGCTCCTCCTCCCTCTCCTCTCTCCCCTCCTCTCTCTCTCCTCATCTCGTCTCGCTCTCTCGTCCTCGTCCTCTCTCTAGTCTCTGGCTCTGGTCTCTCCTGCTGTCTGGTCCTGTCTCTGTCTCTGTCTTCTCTCTCTCTGCTCTCTCTCTGTCTCTGGTCTCTGTCCCTGTCTCTGTCTCTTTTCTCATCTGCTCACTCTTCTCTCTCTTCTGCTCCTGTCCTCTGTCTTCTCTCATCTTTCCCCAGTCTCTCTCTCTCTCTCTCTCTCTCTCTTCGTCTCTCGTCCTCTCTGTCTCTCTTTCCTCTCCGGTCTCTCTATCGTGGTGTATGCGCTCCTCCTGCGCTCGCTGGTCCCGTCCTCTCTTCTTCTCGACCCACCTGTCCTTGTCTTCTTCTCCTCTCGTCTCTCNTGTGTGTGCATTATCGCGTGTGTGTGTGTGTGTGTGTGTGTGTGTGTGTGTGTGTGTGTGTGTGTATGTGTGTGTGTGTGTGTGGATGTGCGCAAGTGCGTGCGTACGTTGGTGTGTGCACGTAACGCGCAGAAATACAAGACAATAAATTCCAAGAAATCTGATTTGCTCACACGATTTTCAATTTTCCGGCAATATAAATTCGTGAATGTTCGCGAGATGTGAGATCGCGTGTCCGCTTTGTGAATTATTGCGAGTCACGTCAACTGTTTGATGTACTGCTTGAGCTTTCCTGTACTCCCGCGACCGAAAAACACATCGTTGAACCCAATGTTTACATAAACGGACATCAATATTACCTAACCAAGATTTTCTTCTATTAGAATTATGGCCTTTCTACGACACGTGCAGTTTATAAAATCGGTCTAAACGTACGTGGGCTAGGGTCGAAGTTAGCCACCGCCTCCAACATTTGCCTTCATATCCATACAGTAGCCCAGTTGTAATTAGAAAACGATTGGGGTTGACAGCACGCAGTAACGAGAGGACTCACTGGTGATGCATTTGCATGGCACAGTGAGATGACATTTAATATGGGTCCTTACACTGTTTATATACGAGTCCATGATGAAAGACGGGTTTATAGTTCAAGATGTTGCAACCGAAAAGAGATCACTTGAGTGAATATAGCTCAACTATAATCAACCTCTTCGCTGCTGCATGTGGCACGCATCAAAGGAAATTAATTTCATTGCCCAACGCCAGAGCCCTCTGGAGAGGGAAGGGCATCTCTTTCAATTGACTCAAGACATCTTACCGACAAAGGCTAATGTGTGAACGGCCTTGTACAACGTGTCCGGTCCAATCGGTTCCATGAACGTTACGGAGATTGCCATCACGATTATATTATTAGTCGAACATCCCTCTATTAAATATTGAATATATGATATCTCGAGTTGGAATATTGAGAACAGAGGAAGCTGTAGATTAATTATGGTTTCTCTCTGGAAAGCGATATACATTACGCAGGTACATGCAAGTACGAAACCATATAATGGGGTGCTCCACCATTTCGACTTCAAAATAACACTTCAATTAAATTCTCTCAGTTCTTTCAACAATTTCTATAATTTACCTTTTATAATATAGAGCTGCCTATACTTAGGAATGTTATGTAGTTAATAATTTAATATGTGCCTTGTTAAGAAGTTAATCTTAAAATTAATAAGAGTTGTAACTTTAACAATGAAAAATCTCGGATTATACACGGTATATCACGATTTTCCTGTGAGAGGTCATTGGTAACATGTTGTGAACCTCCGAACTACTTGTATAATATTTCCGTGCACTGGAATTTTGTGATTAAATTAATATCTTGACTATTTATTAGGAATAAATCTGTAAAACATTGGTATAAAACGCCAACATCATTGCCATAAAGTACCAACATTACTAAGTGCATCATCAAAACTTGTAACTGATAAAAGAAAATAATTAGAGTAGTTAAAATCTAAATTTCTCATTATGGGAATATCGAATAGAACAGCAAAATATGGATATAACCAGCAATTTACTAAAAAATACCGAACAAATGTATGACCGACTATATGTGATGAGGTCAATTCAAGCCCAAATTTATGAGTAGACATGTGTATTATGAGTAGACATGTGTATTATGAGTAGACTATGTATTATGAGTAGACATGTGTATTATGAGTATATAGACATGTGTATTATGAGTAGACATGTGTATTATGAGTAGACTATGTATTATGTGTAGACTATGTATTATGAGTAGACATGTGTATTATGAGTAGACATGTGTATTATGAGTAGACTATGTATTATGAGTAGACATGTGTATTATGAGTAGACATGTGTATTATGAGTAGACTATGTATTATGAGTAGACATGTGTATTATGAGTAGACTATGTATTATGAGTAGACTATGTATTATGAGTAGATTATCGCGGTAAGTATCGCGTGGTATAATAACTTCCATTGGCAGTGTTGCCATCTCTTCCTCCTCATCGCTCCTCAGCGTTAATGCAGCGAGTAGCGAGTAACCTCATTTGTAAATAAAACGTGTGATTAATTCGATTCATTGATCATTAAACGGTTACTCGTCATTAGAGCAATACCCGTGTAAAGGCTTGAGGGTATTCTTAAGTGTTGTCTCTGCAAAAACGCGAACCGAAAGAGAGAGCGCTCCCCCTATCTCTCACGTTTCACACACACTCTCGCGCGCTCTCTCTCGCTCTCTCTTTCTTTGTCTTACGCTCTCTTCTCCCTCTCTCTCTCTCTCTCTCTCTCTCTCTCTCTCTCTCTCATCTTCTCGTGTGTGTCTTTCTCTCGTCTTATCTCTCCTCGTCCTCTTTCTTGACCCGCCCGCTTTCCCTTTCTCTCTCGCGCCCCTCCCCCTCTCTCGCCTCCCCTCCTCCTGCGCTTAAACCCTCCGCCCTCCTCTCTCGATCTTCCTCATTCTCTCTCTCTCTCCCTCACTCCTATCTATCGCGCGCGGCTCGTCTATCTCTCTCTCTCTTCTCTCGCTCGTCTCTCTCGTCTCTCTCTACTTCTCTCTCTTTCGCGGCCGCGCGCGGCGCTCTCTCTCTCTCTGTGCGCATCTCTCTCTCTCTCTCTCTCTTTCTCAGCTCTCTCGCTCTCTCCTCTCTCTCTCGTAGATGCGCTCTCTCAACCAAGGCTCGCACCCCCCCACCCCAGTTACTCTTCGTCAACTCTCGTCACGTCTCTCTCTGCTCCCCACTCTCTCTCTCGTGTCTCTTCGTCGTGTACTCTCTCTGTTCTCAGTCCTTCTCGTCTTCTCTGTTCTCTCCTCTGTGTGCGGTGTGTTATTTGGTGCTGTTCTGTCGATGTGACACGGCTGAGCACACGACGTGTCTGCGCTTGGGTACAGTGCCGCGCAGGTGAAGTCCGAAGTAGAAGTAGAAGTAGAAGATAGAAGTAGGAGCAAGGAGAGGGTAAATACCACTGGCGCTTGAATCTG